GCATTTGCCAAGGTGGTTGGGATCAGGGTGGGGAGTGTTTTCCTCCCCCAGAAGGAAGTCCTCAGCTTGCAGGGTCTCTGCTCGCTCACAGAGGCTGTAGAAAATACTGGTTAGGGCGGAACTTTCTCACCCTGGCTGGGGGGGGGTCTGTGCCTGGGAGGGGGCCGGGTCAGTGGCTGCCCTCACCATCGCCCTCCTCCTCTCCCTCACCAGGTGGTACCTGAAGATGCTGCAGTGCTACCGCTGCCGGCAGTGGTTCCACGAAGCCTGCACCCAGTGCCTCAGCGACCCCATGATGTTTGGAGACCGGTACGTCCCTTCTGGACTTTGCAGGGCTGGGGCTGGACATCAGAGCTGGCTCCCCGGGGTGGGGGCTCACGCACGGGCACGTCCCTGGTCCGTATCTCCCCGATCTGGCTGTGGCCCTGGTGTGGATCAGCCGCCCCGAGGGCCGGCGGGTGGCCCAGTCCCCGCTCCTGGCTCTGCTGTCCCTGTTGGCACCCAGAGCACTGTCCTCTATGATGACCCCCCACCCCCAGCGCTCTCTCTCCCCGCTCTTTTCCAGGTTCTATGTGTTTTTCTGCTCCGTATGCAACCAGGGACCTGAATACATCAAGCGCCTGCCCTTGAGATGGTAAGAAATGCCCTCGGCTCCTTTGGGACGGGACGGGGTGGCCATGGGGCACCTCCTGCCCATCCCAGCCAGGCCCTGAGCGGGAGCCTTTGCTCGGTGCTCAGTGTGCAGCTCCTCCTGCCCAGCCCCGGGGGGCTGTTTCTCAACCTGCCCCAAACCTCCTGTTTGTCCAGGAGCCAAGGTACACGTTTGGCAGAAGATAACAGCAAAAAGCAATTGGGTGACAAGTCATCAAATACAAGTTTACAAGTGGTTCTGTTTAGCGTACCTTGACAGTCTGAAAGCACTTTATAGAGTATGTTAACGGTGCCAGCAGCCCAGCTTTTCCCTGCTGTTCTCCTTGTGCTCGCCGTGTCAGACGTGTTCCTGCTGCTGACGGGCTGCTGGGACGCGGCTGCCTCGGGGACGTTGCACCGAGCAGGCAGCAGGCTGGGAGGAGAAGGGAAATCCTCCAGGATATGTTGCTTGGCTTTCATTTTCAGAGATGCAAGTGTAAAATCCCACCGGATAGGCTGAGTTGTTAAAATAGTCTATTTTCATGTGAATAAGAGCTGTCCTACTCCTGTACCTAACTGCAGCAAGAGCACACAGCTGGGGCTTATTAAAAAGCTGGAAAACTGGGCATTCATCCTGGGAATGGCATGTTCTCCAGCTCCTAGGCTTGGGGCTCTTGGTGTTTGGGCTCCTCGCAGCTGTGGGCAGCGTCCCACCCTTCCCCAGAGCTCAAGGGATGCTGTCCTGCCTGTGGCATCCCCTGGGCTGTGCCTCTGGGCTGAGTTGCTTCCCGTGGGGTGTGGGAATGGTCCCAGCTTCCAGCGGGTGGGTTTTGGGAGAACCGTGCTGGGGGCTGAGCGCCAGCAGCGCTGGCAGAGCAGAGCAGCGTGGTGGGCACCGTCCTGCCGGGGAGAGGGCGGCTGCTGACGGTCCCCCGCTTCGCTCCCGCAGGGTGGATGTCGTCCATCTCGCCCTCTACAACCTGGGCGTGCAGAGCAAGAAGAAGTACTTTGACTTTGAGGAGATCTTGGCCTTCGTGAACCAGCACTGGGATCCGCTGCAGCTTGGGAAGGTAAAAACACGCAGCCTGGGCTGGAGAGTAGCTGCAGGGAGGGAGAGGGGCTGCTGGGGATGAAGTCATGGCTGGTTGTCCCCAAAAGCCCTGGCTCGGAGGATCTTGGACCCTTCTTCCCTGCAGTGGCCGAGTCCCTGAGGCTGGGGCAGGTTGGCCAGTGAAGGGCAGTGGTGGTGGTGAAATGAAATGGTGGGGCGGTGAGTTCTGCCCATTGTTTGGGTGGTTTTCCCCTCTCATGGCTGCTGACCCCCAGGTGTGGGTTGGAGCTTCGGGAGCGCCTGTTCACCGTGACCCGGGCCGGCTGGTCCTTGGCCCAGTCTCCTGTGGGGAAGGAGCTTTAAAACACATGCCAGGTTTCAGTGGGTGGGCAGGAGCACCCAGCCTGGGGTGTTTGAACCTGCTGGCAACACCCGGCAGCTCCCACGAGCTGTTCACCCGCCCCGGGGTTGGCATCCCAGCAGGGTGTCCCCAGTGACGGGATGCTGCTCCCTGCGCCGGGCAGCGGTGCCGAGCCCCGGGCACGGGCCCTGGGCAGAGCTGAGGGACCCTTCCTGGGGCTGGGGGGCAGCTGGGGCAGTCGGGGGGTGAGTAGTGAAGGGGATGTACCCATGTGTGCCACCGTGCCAACAGCCCCGGCGAGCTTGGGCATCTCTGCAGAGTCCCGTTGGAGCAGCGCTCGGCACGGGCAGCTCCTGCTCAGGATGAGCTGAGTGTGCCGGGATTCCCTCCCTTGGGGTGTTGGACCCATCGAGGCCGGGGCCGGAGCTGGGAGAAGCGCTAAAGCCGAGGCGTGTTGGAAACCTGTCGGGGTGCCGGGACAGCTCGGCCCCGCAGACACCTCCCTCCCCTGCACCGAGGGCGGCCGGTGCCAAAGGCGGGCGGCTCGGGCGTCCCTGGCTCCCTGACCGGGGCAGGGGCCGAAACCCGGAGTGCGGGTTCCCCCGTCTGTTTGGTTTTTGCATAACGGCAGCGGGCGCCCAGCCCTGCCTGACCTCGTCTCTCCCCGCAGCTGACAGGCACCCCCATCTCCGAGCGCGGCCCCCACCTCCTCAACGCTCTCAACAGCTATAAAAGCAGGTGAGCCCCGGGACGGGGACGGGATGGGATGCGGGATGCTCCTGTGGCACCCTGCCCTGGCCTGAGGGCTGTTTCCTTCCCTCTGCCACCCAGGTTTCTGTGTGGGAAGGAAATCAAAAAGAAGAAATGCATCTTTCGCCTGCGGATCCGTGTCCCGCCGAACCCCCCCAGCAAGGTGCTGCCAGAGAAAGCCCCCGGCGTGAGCGAGAGCGGCTCCTGTGAGCTGAAAAAGAAGGGAAAAAGCAAATACGTCCATAAGGACAGGTGAGTGGCCAAATTCGCACGGGTACCCCCCGTTGCCACAGCACCTCACGTTCCCCTGGGGCGGCCTGGCGGCCTCACCCCCCCCTTGCTTCGCAGCCTGCTGCCGCGGCAGCTCCAGCAGCAGAAGCGGCGAGCGGCGCGGCGCAAGAGGGCCAAGTTCCTGCTGGAGGACGCCATTCCCAGCGTGAGTCCTTCGCCCCCTCCTCTGCGCGACCACACCGGGGTTTGGCAGCCCAGTGGGACCCCCCCAGCCCCGTCCCTGGGGCTCCCCGTGAGGTTGCCCCGCGGCAGTGACGAGTGAGCTTGTTTTTGTGGTGCAGAGTGACTTCACCTCTGCCTGGAGCACCAACCACCACCTGGCCAGCATCTTTGACTTCACACTGGATGAAATTCAGAGCCTGAAAAGGTCCGTGCGGCCGGGTCTGGGGGGTGTGGGTGGCAAAGGAGGGGGGCGCTGGGGGGTTGCTGTGCCCCTTGTGCCAGGTGGGGGTTGACACTGCGTCCCATCCCCAGTGCCAGCTCGGGACAGACGTTCCTATCGGACGTGGACTCCACGGATGCTGCCAGCACCTCGGGCTCGGCCACCACAAGCCTCTCCTACGAGTCCAGGTGAGGGCGGTGCCCCTTGACCCCTTCCAGAGGGGTCCCGGTGGCACGGCCAGGGCAGGGGGGGCAAGGGGCTGCCCCTCTTCCCCCGCAGTCCCCTCGTGTCCCGCCACAGGGGTGTCCCGCATCGGGAAGCCTGTCCTCCCTGCCTCCCCAAACGGGCTGATGGTCCCAGAGCGGCGCTGGGTGTGCAGGATCGGGGCTGTCAGTCCTCGCTGGGCTCACCCGCCTTCCCAGCCTGCTCCCTCCCGGCTCGCGGGGTGGTGGGCGCAGCCAGCATGGTGGGGGGCATTTTTTGGGTGCTGCCCTCACCCCTCCTCTGCGCGACCACACCGGGGTTTGGCAGCCCAGTGGGACCCCCCCAGCCCCGTCCCTGGGGCTCCCCGTGAGGTTGCCCCGCGGCAGTGACGAGTGAGCTTGTTTTTGTGGTGCAGAGTGACTTCACCTCTGCCTGGAGCACCAACCACCACCTGGCCAGCATCTTTGACTTCACACTGGATGAAATTCAGAGCCTGAAAAGGTCCGTGCGGCCGGGTCTGGGGGGTGTGGGTGGCAAAGGAGGGGGGCGCTGGGGGGTTGCTGTGCCCCTTGTGCCAGGTGGGGGTTGACACTGCGTCCCATCCCCAGTGCCAGCTCGGGACAGACGTTCCTATCGGACGTGGACTCCACGGATGCTGCCAGCACCTCGGGCTCGGCCACCACAAGCCTCTCCTACGAGTCCAGGTGAGGGCGGTGCCCCTTGACCCCTTCCAGAGG